CCGAGTCTTCTCATTCCGAGTCTTCTCATTCCGAGTCTTCTCATTCCCCCACCCCCACCTCTTGTCCCATGGCAATAGTGGACTTATTAAAATGTACACCTAAACTTGCTGGGCACCCACGAGGCGCTGTAACAACAACTCTAGATAAAATGATTCAAACTTCCCAATCTCAATTCATAAGACATCTATGTAAGTTTTGACTTTGGTTATGAAAGTGAGGAGTGTGCATCCACAAACAAAAATCCATGCCAAAACTGCATTACTCAAATGTCTTGAATGTTTGTACATGTGCAAGCCTTTAAGTTGGAGAGTTTTTTTTGCACACTTTAATGAGGATAAAACTATGTTGTGATGAGGCTTGTAATGCTACCTCCTTTTTATTTTTCAAGTTCATTTTTTGATTTTGTTTCTCTTGTGAGCTGGATTTTACTCCCTTCCCAGCTGATTTGAAGGTGTGATCATTTGTAAAATCCAGCATGTCCTTGCTGCCTGCCAATCATTATGAAATTCTGCCAGGGAGTTGGTAGGTGGAGTGGTTGGTGAAGGTGTTAGCCATCCACCCATGGATGGATTTGAGGCCCTTAAGTAGCCAATTGCAGGCTATTTTCTTCATGTCTAGTGGTAAGCCAGCACATTTTTTTTTTTTTTGCTGTAAGGCTAGTGCCTAGCAAGAAGGGGGTAGATTGGGAGCTACCTTTTGCTGGGGTCTGGCTCAGAGACACTCTGATCTTGCTTCTGTATTTTACCCTCCCCTGCCCTCATACCAACCCCTCAAACCTGGCTCCTGCCCTGACAAAATACACCCCACTTAAACAAAAACAGTGGTTGCTGGAAGAGTTCAGCAGGTCTGGCAGCACCTGTGAAGGAAAAAAATCAGAGTTAACGTTTCTGGTCTGGTGACCCTTCCTCAGAACTGAAGGGAGCTGGGAAAACATCAGTTTATATGCAGAAAATAGGGAAGTGGGTGGGGTAGGGAGTAAACAATAGGACAGAGCCTAAAGACAGAGACTAACTGTTGGACAGACAAAAGTTGACAATGATCAGGATGGGAGGGTGAATCTGCAGTTCTTTCGGTTTTATTTAGTACTTAACTCACTGCCACATCTCTTCTAGGCATGCCTACCTTGAAGTTCTGCTCCTCTCTCCGACGGGATTTCCGTTCCAATCTTTCTTCTCGCCCACCGACATTAATTTCACTGTCACTCCTCCCTGGTGTTTGACCAAGTATTTGCTAAAACACGTTTCCACAGCCATATCACATTCATCAGTGACTGCCTCTGGCTCAGACTCCCCCCACATGGATTGCAACTGAAGTTTCATCCCTCATGTTTTGAATCCTCCCAGGATCACACATCTTGGGATTGTTCAACTTTCCGCGGACAGCTGTTCTCGCCGCATCCTGAGATCCACACTCGGTGCCATGCAGCGCCACATGCGCACTCTCGACCTTTCTCTCCAACAGCATCGTAACACACTGGTTCAGGGCTGCACCACTCCGCAATTCCATTTCATCCTCCAGTTCATTCGTTGTGCTAACAAGAAACTTTTTTTTTTTTCTTTTCCTTTCTGACATCAAGGCCCACAAGATGCAACAACTCAAAGATGCTTATGGCCCTCTGCAACCTTCCTTTCCTCCCCTGCCATCTGATTCCATCCCCTTTCCCAACCCCACTTCCTGTCGGGTATTCACCATCCCTCCTAACCTTCCACACTCTGATGCTGAACGTTCTGTACTGAGCAAAGGCCTCAGCTTTATTCCTCTGCGTCCCCACCTTAATGAGTTTCAGGCATGACGTGATGCCGAACTCTTCCGCCATTTTTGCCTCCGTGCTCATTTCTTCGGACAAAAGTCCTTTCTACGCCCACAGACCCCTTTGCCCAGTTCCAACACACTCCCTCCGTCTGGACCCCTCCCTCTGCCCTTTTACCTGCACTCGATCTGTTCATTGAGAACTGTCGACATGATGTTAGTCACCTCAATTTCTCTGCCCCTCTCTCCAAATCCAACCTATTTCCCTCTGAACTGACTGCATTCTATGCACTCAGATCTAATCCTGACTTTGTTAATAAGCTTGCTGATAAGGGTGGTGCTGTTGTAGTCTGGTGTACAGACCTCTACCTTGCAGAGGCTGAGTGCCAACTCTCAGATACCTCCTCCTACCTTCCCCTGGACCATGACCCCACCATGACCTATCAGGCCATTGTATGTACGACAATAATTGATCTAATTTCATCCGGTGATCATCTCCCCCCAGCCACGCACAGCTCGCTTTTACCTTCTCCAAAAATCCATAAACAGGACTGTCTGGGCAGACCCATTGTTTCAGCCTGCTCCTGCCCCACAAAACTTTTGTCTTCCTACCTTGACTCAATCTTCTCTTCCCTGGTCCCATCCCTGCCCACACACATCCATGATTCCTCTGATGCCTTACGTCAGTTTGAAAACTTCCAGTTTGCTGGCTCCAGCCGCCGCCTCTTTACCATGGACGAGCAATCCCTTTACACCTCCATTTCCCACTAGGAGGTTCTTGGGGCCTTCCGCTTCTTCTTGGAGCAAAGACCTGAACCATCCCCACCCTCCTCTGCTTGGCTGAGCTTGTCCTCACCCTCAACAACTTCTGTTTTAACTCCTCTCATTTTCCTCAGGTAAGAGGGATGGCCATAGGAACCCGCATGGGCCCAAGTTATGCTTGTCTCTTCATGGGGTATGTGGAACATCCCTTGTTCCAGTCCTATTCTGGCCCCACCCACAACTCTGTTCAACACAT